ACTGCGGTTGACTGGTTGACTGGCTCGCTCAAGGCCCCTCGCTCGCTACAGTCATCCCCCAAGGCTGCAGTTCCTCCTGAGAAAAGTTCCGTAGAACAAGTTAGTAAGAACAGGTGTATTTTGGAGGTGTTATTGAGTGAGGGATTTTCTCTGGACATAACTATGGTGATTGTTTGTTTACATTTACAGGGAAGGAAAAACGTAGCTTTTGTCATTCATTCGTGTGGAATGTTCCAAGCTGTAGGGCTTGGCCATATCTCACGGTTGTGAGTTTTCTTGTGAAGACGATCAAGAATGTAAGTTTCAGTCTGGATAGAAATGTGAAAATGAGATAGGTATCACGTGATTGCATATCTCTAATCTTTGTCCCAACATGTATTACTGAAATGTTAAGTATCTGGAAATACAGAGTTATCAGGGCCTTTTCCACGTAGCTGCTCTGATGATTAATGTTCCCCATAAGACTGTATGGAAGAAAAATGTTCTGTAACTGTGATAGATATTGTATACTTGTTGATATTCAGGATCAGTTACTGCCATTCGCCTTCCAGTGTCCAAAGTGTCAGGTTCATTTATTTGTGATGTGTCTTTGGTTTATTTTGCCAAGATATGATAGTGTCTGCTCAATTATTTGGTTCAGTGCTTGCTTCTTTCCTTTGTGACTGGAAGCAGGCATGTTACATTTTTATCATACTTTTTTAAAGTCTTGAATTTTAGCTCCCTTGCTTTTATTTAATGATTATTTTTTTATCTCTTGCAGTGCTGTTAATTGAATCTCACATATAGGTCCCAATCATGTACCTTTATTGCTAGCACAATGGTTAATGTATTAGAAACTTTGTTCTTAGTATCAGATTTGATTCCATGGTCAGTTACCGCTCCCCCAAAAGGGGGGAGAGGTAGAATAAGATCACACAAGCAAAGAGCAAAACTAAGATAATTACTGTAAAGGACACATATTACAATATTCTTTGGTCTAAACTAATAAGGGAAGATCGTAGTCCCATGTAAGACTGTTCAAGTTTTTGTTCATGTACCTAAGTTCAGTAATGCTGTAACATTCACACTTTGCACAGTTGCAAAGGTGAGTGATCCTCCACCATGTATTTTCTCACAAAGTAAAGCTTGTAGATGACCTTGGCTTTTTATCTTCAAATAGGAAACTTGTCTATCTAGCAGAATAGAATTTGTGGAGGCTTGTAGGCTGTGCAGGAGGGTAAAGCAGAGAGATTGAAGTGCTGGTATGTGGAATCTTATTACATATACCAAATACATTGCTTTCCTGCTTTTGTTTCATAATATAGGAATGTTCATAAATGGTAGTCTCTAGTAGTTATTTGCTATGATATAGGTTACTTTTCATAGTAAGTGAAAGTCGTCAACTCCACATGAGAAATTTTATTCAATAACCTAAATTATCAAGCCTGGGCAACTGCCCAAGGGGAGAGTTGATGAGGGTCTCTGCCCCCCCCTCCCCAGTACCCCTCCAGCAAACATTGTCTTCACCTTGGTATAAGTTGAAACTGTGAGCAGTGTTTTCCATGATCCTTTCCCTTTATTTGTGGTGTTGCTGTTCATTTCTGCAGATTATTTCTTGTACTGGCGACTACAACTTTTTGTCCTCTTCAAGAATACCATCTTCAGTTTGACTTAGCTCCATACTGTAAAGATTAGATGTGGCTATTTTTGCAATACATATATTTGTCTTTTTAGTTGCCTTATATGTGCATTATAAACAAAGGAATTTATTTCTATTATTATGTTTTTTAGGGGGTCTTTATAGATTCAGACAAAAATTATATGGTAGTACTTGACCTGTGATATTTTGAGCTATACAATAACTATAACATTTTCTACAGACTTTTTTTTTTATATAGCTATATGGGACTTTTGTAATTAAGTGAGTATGCAGTCTCATGCTAATAATAATGACAATAAAACCATATATTTATGTATGTTTTACACATGGATCTCTTATTAGTGGCAAGCCCCATTCTGTGGCCAATTATGACCTCCATTGTAGATGGTGCCCTAATAAAAGCCTATAGCCCATTATTATGTTAATGTTTTCATTGTTTTTGCACTCATATATAACTGATATCCATCCATACATCAAATTCTATCTGTAACTGGCCCTTGTGCCTGAGAGTGTGTTGGAATTATAATTACACTTAAGGAGTCAGTTGCTAATTCTTTTGATGGAGTGAAGAAGTAATTTTAAAGTTGGTCAATGAATGGTGTGTCGGGTATTCTCAAGCTTATCAAATGAAAAGACATGGTTTAAGGTAATGAAAAGGGTTGTCTAGCACCCAGGCATTGTCCTTGGTTTCATGAGCCTGTTTGATTCAGGAGGAAAGGGGAGATATTTTGATTCTGGTGATTCACATGAAGATTCACAGGAGAGATTAAGCATGGTTTGTAGTATTGCAAAGGGATTTATCCTGCCAGACTAAACTTAACCAGATATTTTGATTCTTAACATTAGCCAGATTCTCGTCTT